GCAGCTTTTCTGATATTCTTCATCCTCCAAAACAACACAATGGGATTTATAAGTGAATTCATATTGTTAATAACTGTTGCTATACTCTCTGCACCCCAAATGGCCGCGGTTTCTCCYAGTATACTMGCTGCAACTGTAGTACASAGGAAGGGTACACTACACAARTTAAAAAACACAAAAACATACAGCATTGTAAACATGGATTTCCTGTACCTCCATGCACTTGCAACATGTTGTCCCGTCACTCCTTCTGTCAAGTTTTCATTCTGTAGTCTTTGTTGTCGAAGTGTCCAAAAGCTTTTTATATAACATATAGACGACAACACTATACATGTCATRTACAGGGGTGCAGCTATCATGAAGTAAAGCCATCGTGGAGTATACAGTTGTCCAGATACGATAACAAAAACTAGTATCCATATGGTTAAGATTACACATTTTACCCTCATATTACTCATAAGGGTGCTATACCTATTCCCCTTGTGTACAATAAGGAAACGGTCTATAGCAATGGCAGTCAAGGTACAAAGGGACACYARTGTCACRTACGATCCAGCTATGTAAGTAACCATACCAGTTCCACAGTATGTTGTAAAATCATTGCCGACTTCTGCTATCTTTTTTGCTACAAGTGTAGTCTCAAGAATCAACCCCAATAGGAGATCAGASACTGCTAAGCTRAAAATGAATTTCGTTGATGGTTTACGAAGCTCGCTTGACCGCAACAAAGACGCTATCAGTAGAATATTGAGCGATACTGTTGGTAGAATAATTAAGCTGTGAAGACACGCCGCAGCGATGTAGGTGTTTCTCACTTGGTTRATTTTGTTGATGTTGAATGTCAAGAAATTGCACTTGTGAATACCACTCTCTGTCTTGTTCATGTTAATTCTTGTTATGGTTCTTGTCTTGGTTTATTTGATCACTTATGGAAAAAGATAAACTTTGTTATCCTTGTACTTCCTGTGCTCTTCAGATAAAAAAATACATGAAATATACACTTATTATTTACCAGAACATATAACTATAACCAGAAAGGCAACACAATAGCCGAGATTGATACTGAATTTCCGTGTAATTATGCTTAAAGTATCCACATGTTCTGCAGAATTTCTTTGAGGTTTGCAGATCATTCCAATAGGTTTTTTAAAGGGTGAAAACTTAAATCTAGGTACATTCTTGTGGTTATTCATTTGAGTTAAGACCGACTTTTGTCTACCTAAAGCGTCCTTATCAAGAGCATTCGCATTAAATTCAACACTTACATCAATTTACAAAGCTTAAATACCTTAATTTTTTGAAAATATCCAGTCTTTTGGTAAGTAAATAGTTTGGAATTTCCATGTAAAAAGATTTGAGTCCCTTTCGATGAGGAAATCTTTTGTGTACTGTACCGCAGGTGCCTCCTACTGATGGTTTTGACTGTTTTAGTTTGACAGGTACTTTTTATATGTTTGTCTATGTCATTGCATACTGTTTTAATCAATTTGAAGTTTAACGTCTAAAAATAAGAAAAGGAGAGTCAAAGAAAGGAAAAAAAGAGATAAGAAAAGAATGGATCTTACTATCGAAAAAAGGAAGAAAGTCTCGTCTCTTTGAATCTATGCGCAAATCGACCAAATTTCCATCGAAACAGGTTAACCAATGATTTATAAAAGTGTATAGCATCTTTTAAATGCCTTGTATAAAAATGCAATATGAATGATTTGGTAATTATGTTAAAACAACATTCTTCATCATTATGATATAATAATATAGTGTAGAGTTGAAATAAATGATTGGTCAGCAACTATAGTTGCTTTGAAATCAAGTAGTCTGTGTATGTTGAAGTGTGGAAGTTAGTGAGAGTTCGTCTATTTTTATTTTATATAGAGTTTTCCTGCTAATTTTCAGTTAGTGATTCTAAATTATTGATAAGTGATTTACTGCACCAGTTGGCAACAACATATTACTAGAGTTACCGACAACTGATATACTAGAAAAGTGCAGTATTTTCAAACATTTTAAAGACATCTTATACGGCACAGATCTAGATACATTAYTGTAGAATGAGCTTAAACTCACAATATTTGATAAGTTAATAATAGTTCTAGCATCGATTAACAGAAAACTTTTAAGTCAATTTTCTAGATTAAATTTTTTTTTCGCATTTCATTTAATTATTGCAGGTTCCCTATTATAATATTTGCCCAGTCGTCCATAGCTGTCAATTTCTCCGATGTGRTCGTATTCAGTTAAACAGTCTATTAATACCAGCTGTAAAACTATATACCATATAAGAKGTATCAGTAACAGTAAACAATGACAACAGCTTTTGTCTTTTATTTTGGGCGCTTATACTAATTTTTTCCCCAATTTGTGTTCCGTTACAAAGAAATTATGTTAAAATGGTTTGGCGTAAAATGTCTCAACCTGCATTGGACCGGTCTTAAAGAATCATAACCAACCGCCGTACCTTGCGATTCGAAGCGCCATTTTAGGTGGACATGAAAATGGCGGATTCGTAGGATTTCTTAAAGTGAGCGCGAATCGTCTTCWATCCTTTCAGTTTGGACAGAAATAACTTTAAGTACCTCACAGGTACTATCAATCTGTAATCTATTGTATGCTTGACGCATTTAAATGTATGTAAACAATAACATGAGCGCGCGCTGTATTGTGGTTGGTTAGGATTCTTTAAAGGCTGTTATTTTAATAAATAGACATCCCTTTGAACATTCGCTTCCCTCGCTTGCGCGCCGCGCGGTGCACCTAGGGAGTTGAACAAGCCATGACTGATCACGAGTCTGGCCCAACTTCAAAGAGCGTCATTGGTTACAAAATATAAACATAGAATATCACAATCCTTCTAAAATACAAKTAGTTTGTGGGGAAGGAAGAAACTTTAAGAAGCACTTAAAGCGTAACCGGAAATCATTTATTCTACCAACAGTGTCCAAGTTTTGTGATGTATTTTTGTTATTGTATAATATATGTGCCCCCATGCGAAATACTGTTTAACCATTTTTATAAAATAGTCAATGGATGGCTACCAGTTGTTTTGTTCTTTATTTACCTAAATATAACCGGTTTGCTTTGATTCCAAATCAACAACACGTGAATAACCTCCACTGTCTGTTGGATGAGAAAATTAAACAACTTGTTTACCAGAATATAAACAAAGACCTCTTGCAGGAAGTGATCATAGAGGGGCGTGAAAGGTCGTTTTTTCAAGCGCACGGGAGTATGATTCCTTTATAGAAGGTCTAAACTACTGGCGCTTGTATTGATTAAAAACTTGGACTGTTTTASTGAAAATGTTTTTTAATTGCCACATGCTTCCAAAGCGTTTGCAACACGCCATGATCGTATCTCATAAATAACTAATGACAAAGATCACGGACGCCATTATGATTTGCTCCTTTGACTTTGAAAATTGCTTATAGTTCGCGAGAAAAATATTCAATTTTAATTTGGACGTTGTCAAGGGTTACTTGGACGATTTATCGTCCAATTACTATGGATTTAAGGAGAGAAAGAGTTTATTTGACGCCATTATTACGATGACAGATCAATAAGATAAGGAATTATAATATTACGAGCGTTAGAAACTCCGTTCGTGTCCGTTCTTTTAGGGCACGTTTTCAACAGGCATGAACCATGAGTTTTACTCATCTRATAGGAGTTGCAATCGCTCAAGATAGACGAACTAATTCTGCTGAGGACGAGTTTAATGATGATTATGAAGGACAGACTTATACTGCCACAAGAACACAAATTAATCARTCGAAGAGAACATGTTTTACGACCATTTTATGCTGTGGATGTTTCTTCTCGTTTGGCACTACGATGGCCATCATTGGGCCTACATTAATTGAACTTGGACACTTAGTAAACCATGGTTTAAATATGATGAGTTGGTTGTTTTTCACCCAAGCAGCATATGCTCTACTAGGCGCAGTCATGGCTGGTATTGTAGTAGACAGGTAGGAAAACAATACTCAAACCAGAAAAACTTCTATGCTTGGTCCTGCCATTCACAGGGTCCCGCCACTTGATAGTTTATTATTATTAGTACAC